TAATTTTTTTTTGCTAAATGATCATTGACTAAATACAATATAACGTTAAGTATATGTAACCACTACAATTAATTTTCTAATTTTATTTTATTTTTCTATTTTTATTTATTATTTATTTATTTTCATTTTATTTTTATTCTGTTTTATTTTATTTCATTTAATTTTATTCTATTTTATCCGTTCTATGCATTATCAAACTTCTCCTCTACTGCTAGAGCTACTAAAACTTCAGACCGAATATATTAAACATTTTAATTCGCCCCCTCTAGCGGTTTGGGCCAAATTGCAGCTTTCCAAAAAAATCCAAGATGGCGGCGGCAGATCGGGGCGCGGCTCGGCGATTGCCGATTTCATTGTATTTTCCTTGGTCTTTTACGCGATTCAAGCAAAGAAAACAAGTTGACCACAAGAACAAAAGAGTAATACAGCACTGGGAATCTAATGGTCCGTTTCGTTGGGCGGTAATTTCTCATTTCAAGTGAATATTTACTTGCGTCACAGTGATTTATTCACCAATCAAAAGCGACATCTTGCGACTGAAGCAAATATGGAAGGTTAATGTACATAATTTATGTCATTGATTTATAGGTCCAATTACAGCAGCTATTAGCGAAATTCTAGAACATTAAATGCATACTATGATATAAAACAATGGTTTTGTGGTAAACAGCATTTCCTCTTTTTTAGCAACTTCGTTGTATCAGAATAACGACACTATCATCCGGTAGGTCGACACCACAAAGTAAAGTATACATGCAGAGTAATTGGTTTCATTGGGTTTTTTTTTCACGGTCGAAATCAAGATTTATTCAGTCATCCAACCATCCAACCATTCAACGTACATATTTTACCATTCAACGTACATATTTTGGAGCACAATATCTCGGCCGCTCAGGCGGCCGAGATAAAAAAATTCATTACCTAATGACTACAAAACCTTTCCAACCAACATGAACAGCCAATCAGCACAAACGATAGGTCACATGCAGACATGAATAGCCAATCAGCACCAAGGACGATTTACATGCAGACATGAACAGCCAATCAGCACCAAGGACAGGTCACATACAGACATGAATAGCCAATCAGCACCAAGGACAGGTCACATGCAGACATGAATAGCCAATCAGCACCAAGGACAGGTCACATGCAGATAAGAATAGCCAATCAGCACCAAGGACAGGTCACATGCAGATAGGAATAGCCAATCAGCACCAAGGACAGGTCATTTGGAGACATTTACTATTAAATGACAAAAAATGCATACCAACTTCCCCCTCTTCATTGATAGCATGTAACTGGCTCACTGGAGAACCTTCTTCAGGTCTTGTAAGGAGGAATTTCCTGGAATAAAGTGATAACATTCTGTCAACAACAAATCAAAAGGAACTATTTCAACCACACAATACTTTTTCATCATTTAACAGTTTTACAAGTAATTCCATTGTATATCAAAGTACAAATCACTAGTACTCTTGAAAGCCTTAGTGAAACAGTTGTGAAAACAAATTATCATAATTGATAAGACATAACAAAATAAAGGTCTTGTACATTGTTCATACAGAATAATTAATATACTAGTACCGACTCAACAGTCATAATTCATGTACATAATATACATTTTGAATATTTCTTCAGCTCTATAAGACTATGAATGCCCTACTTGTTCTTATCTGCGTCGGTGAGAAGCCAGTGGTCAGCCGACACCAGATGGACATCTGCTATGGTCAGTGGGACGGACACAGAGTAGGCTGTACCATCCAGTACATTCACTACATCCAACTTGTTCCTGTTGAAACAGTCACTGTACATTATATATCTTTCCGTGCAATGATGTTAATTATAGACAAAATGCTATTTTTCATGTAAAATGATACAATCATGGAAATTTCAAACTTCTTACCCATTTTCTTGAAAGAAGACCACCCAATTCTCATCAGCAAATTCAGAGCACATCTTGTACTTTTCCTTCAAAATCGAGATTAAAAAAAAACATCAATATCAGTAGAAAAGACAATAGAAATCATTTCAAAGTACACCACATGTAAACCTTGAGAAAACTATAGTTATATGTAAGACTTAGGGCATTATTAGGTTCTAGGTGTAAAATCAAGCTTTCTCTCTTATTGTTTGATAATATTATACATGTTGTATATTTAACTCATTATATGTAGTTACCTGTTCACTGAAGTAGCTGGAGACTTTCCTTGTGGCATTCTCCACCACATTAGTGAGGAACAGTCTCCTCAGGTTTCCTGTCATGGTGTCAATCAGCAACACTACGTTGGTCTGAAACATTCACACAAACATCAGGTGACTGTTTTTCACTAAATGCTGTTTTTCTTTCCATGTGTTAGCTCTGTTGTGGCTCAGAATTAATTTTGTAGCCTGTATCTGTATAGCAGGTATAACCGCCCCTCAGTGTAGCACACCAGCTTCACAGGCACATGGCATGGCCATACATGTAGCGTCTTAAATTACACTGGCTGACCTGTTACACCTAACCTTTAACCTCTAACTGTAAGTGTTAACTAAAACTATCTAGGGATGATGCCCCTACTGCACTTGGTTGCAGAAAGTTACACTTCATGATCGATCTAGAAAAAAAACAACCTGCTCATGGTTCTTAAAAGACATCTGCCTGGTATGTAGTATTCATTTTATACAGTATGAAATTAGCGCTATTACCCAGAATATAAATGTCTGATATCCTATTTAAAGTTCTTATTATCTATGTTCTTTCAGTTGCCAGTTTAGTTTAAGACATACCTTTTCCTCATGAAGCAGCACCTGCCCCTCTAAGGGTCCTCCGAGGGCTGCCACCTTCACACTGGGCTGCCAGGACCTCAGGCCGGGGAACACGTCATAAAGGTCAATCTGCCGTATAGTCTTCCCATTGGTGTTCATGCTGTAGACTGAGATGGGGTTCAGGGTGGTCACGTGAACTATATCAGACTTGGATCCTGAAAAACAAAGAGGTCATTATACCATTTGATTAAAAAAAAGCTTGTTTTGCAGTAAGCAAATAATCATCCTATGTGTCTGAATCACTTCAATCCGGTGTGTACTGTTACTAGCCTGAAGTTTTGAAAAGTGAAGGAACAAACTGTATGTCCATTTCTGTATATGATCTGTCCTTGGTGCTGATTGGCTGTACATGTCTGCATGTGACCTGTCCTTGGTGCTGATTGGCTATTCATGTCTACATGTGACCTGTCCGTGGTACTGATTGGCTGTTCATCTCTGCATTATGACCTGTCCTTATTGCTGAATGGCTTTTCATGTCTGCATGTGACATGTACTTGGTCCTTATTGCCTATGCATGTCTGCATATGATCTGTCCTTGGTACTGATTGGCTATTCATGTCTGAACATGATCTGTACATGAACATGATTACTGGAGTATGCCGACGTTGTTTGGGACGGATTAACTGGTAAAGACTCTGACTTAATTGAATCTGTTCAACTCAATGCAGCTCGGATATGTACTGGCGCAATGAGAGGAACAAATAGTAATAGCATCTTGTCTGAGGTTGGCTGGGAAACCATGTCATGTAGGCGTCAAAAGCATAAACTTGTAAACTTTTACAAAATTATCAAAGAATTAGCACCAAAATACTTACAGGAATTGGTACCACTACAAACCCGTGACTCCACCCCCTACAGTCTCCGTACTGATCAGAATTACGTCTTAATTCCTGCTAGAACTGAGAAATTCAAAAGATCTTTTCTGCCTACTTCCATTGTTTCCTGGAATAACTTGCCATTAACTACACGGGCATCAGCATCAATTGCCATCTTTAAAAAAGAGTTGGAGACGTTTTATCACAGCCCTCACACTCAACCTCACTTTTCCCACGGTCCGAGAAACCCAGCTATCCACCTTACCAGACTCAGACTCAACCGCAGCCAGTTAAACTTTCACCTGTTCCAACATCAATGTGTGCCCAGTCCTGCGTGCAAATGTGGTCACTTCAACGAAACAGCTGTACACTACTTCCTACACTGCCCACTGTACACTGACGAACGCATTGACATGTTATCATCGCTAACTAACATTCTGCCATTTGACACAAACAACGTCACCGACAACACTTTATGTTCAACCATTCTCAGGGGTAACCCCTCATTGTCGTTTGTCAACAACTGTAACATATTTGATGTGGTTTTCAACTTTATTTTGCAGACAGGACGTTTTGTTTGATTTAGTTGATTCATTTTGATTTGTACACCAGCCTACTATGTACCCTTGTTATTTCTTCTTATTATTATTACTTTGTTTTATTGTATCCTTTTATGTGTGAGGAGAGGGCTGAGATAAGTTTTATAACTTTTTGCCTCATCCTCGGAAAATAAATGTGAATAAAATAAAATAACATGATCTGTCCTTAGTACTGATTGGCTATTCATGTCTGAATATGGCCTGTCCTTGGTACTGATTGGCTATTACTGTCTGACTCTGCATATGACCTGTCCTTGCTACTGATTGGCTATTTATGTCTTCATGTGACCTGTCCTTGTTACCGATTGGCTGTTCATGTCTGCATTATGACCTGAGCTGATTGGATGTTCCCTTCTTCTCATGATATCAGGCTACAAAAAAAACTATGTTGCCTACTACACACTACACATGTCCTACCTTTGGTGACTGCTACATCCCCAATGATGTTGGTCTCATGAATAGGGAGGTACCAATGAGCCACCAGCTCACTAAACTCAGTAGATCTGTCCTCCATTCTCTCCATTGGGAACTGGTACAGAGGCATCGTCACAGGGCCCTGAATCAAGAAATAAAGCAGTGTTTCCTCCCTCAGTTGGCAATGACATCCAAATGAAAGAAACATGTGCTTCAAACTTGTGTGAGTGATTTTTGTTCAAATCAAAGGGGAGACATCACTCTTTTATATTGCAAACATCTCCAGTAACTTGAATGTACTTTTTTATCAGATTTTTTACAGCAATTTCTTTTAAAATACTTGTCTCTACTTTGACATGATATTGAGCACAAATGTCCCAAAATTAAGATTTATTTTATATACATTTTGTATTTCTTTTATCAGAAGAGACTCAAAATGCTGTCAGTAGTCCACCTAATCTTAAAATACATATTATAATACATGTATATAAAACAAACAAAACCAAAGTACTACAAGACTGCATTGTGCATGTTGCATCTTTTCTAACTGTACCTTGACAAGTTAGACACTAACCCTGATCTTCAGATGTCTCTCTTCCTCCACAGGACATAACAACTTCCTCCTGCTGCTGCCACCAGTTTGGATGTTCCATTGGGAGGTGAGTTTGGGGGCTGGCAGGGCAAATCTATGACAAGATGTCATGCACGTGTCAATGTAAACCCAGATGGGGGGTGTACCAATTTTTTCAACCAATGCTCAGATATTTCAAAGATTTTGTAAAAGATTTTCTTTTGGTGTATGAATAAAATTAGCATAAACTCCAAGTGTAATTTGTTCACTGAGATTATACAAACTTAAGGATCTCCTTTGTGTACAGTATATCATTTCCTTTACAAAAAAAAGGCCCCATCATGATAAAGCATTAAGAAATTTGTACTTTTGTTTAATCTCAAAATTACCCTGTGATGACTTTGACTTGGTTTGCAACATCTGATTTTATGCGGACAAAACAACAACTTACTTGATACCATTTACCTATCTATCAATTTCAAAGTTTAAGATAACTGTCAGTCTAATATGTCCAGAGCTTCAGGGTTGGTCATCTTTTCATGATACAGCCATGTGATTAAAGAAATAATTCATACAACTTTCAAAGGTAATACTACAGAAGAAGCAGACACAAACAGGCATTGAATCATAGATTTTAATAGCATTTTTTTTCTTTATTGAAATGTTCCCATTATTTCACTTGTTCAGAAACCAAGTCAAAGTTCCACAAGCTATAAAATAAACCAATAAGTTATATGCATATGACAAGCTTATCATGAGGACAATCCCATCATCTAGGACACTTCTTCCTGAGGATTTTTCTAAAATTCTTGTTCCATCTACCATACCCATGATAAAAAAAAATATCCAACATGATCCATCACAATACAACCATACAATTACATACAATAATTATCATGCATTTAGCTTATATATCTAGGTGAGAAAGTCCTATTTCCACCAAGTTTAAAATCTAAAATGAATTTTGTTACAATAATATTATTATTGTCAACATCACCACACTGATGACTCACATCACATAAATATTGATTGCCTGACACAGGCAAAATCTTATTAAGATGCTTCATACAACTATTCATAATTATTGGGTACACTTTGGAGATCTTAGTTACACCATACTCTGCATGAGAGAGGATTCTAACACTTTATAATGCTTTTCAATTCTAAAATATTTCACAAAGAGATATAATATGCCACTCTGGCTCTATCGTGACAAGACTTAGTATTTCATGTGACCTGCACAAGGAAAATCAGTGCTTACTCTTTAGCAAGGTTGACGCTGTCTGGGCGCGCTCCTATGGGGATGCCATGTTTCTGTAGTGTGGACACAAGCACTTCCTGCATCTCTTTGTTGTAGGAGTCAAAATCAAACACGTTTCCAACCACACTGGCCAGGCCTTCATTAGGGAATTCCTGATGAAAGAAAACAAGAAACATTGAGTATGATCTTTCTGTAGAAAACTTAAAAGTTTTGAAACATTTCTAGGAGAACATACATTTTCTTTACTGATTCAGAATGGGAAGTATATTGTGCCAACAAGAGTTTTAACCTCCTTGATTGTAAACTTTGACATTATGTGATGAGCATTTCAAGAAATTCAAAGTTCTAACTCTCCAAATTGGCCACAATTCCATTCAAGAACTCCTGCTGTCTCTCCAGTTATGTACGCAGGCATGACAAGGCTACATGTACTTCAGATGTTACTGCAGCTCTTTTTTTTTTTCTTTGGGAATCAAGAAATATGTTCAACTTTACAAATAACTTAAAAGACACAAGAAATTTGACAGAAATCTTTAAATGTGAGTGGAAAGTACAACTTGTATACCCAAGTATGGTATCAGGAAAAACCATCAACAAAACTTCATTTTCTTACCTCTAGATGTTTGACGATGTTGACGACCTCCCTGGTGGAGTATGGGTAAGATATGAGGCCCTGGTCTGCCATGTCACGTAGCTCGCCGAATGCCTGGACCAGGCGCTTCAGGATGTGTTCTGGTACGTCGGGACCATACTGTCGCAACATGGACATCTCTGAGTCTGGGCTGGGGTTGTCCACTGCATGGCAGCTGAAGATATCACCTGGAAAAATATCCACATTATTTTTCTTTCTTCTTTGATGGTGTAAAATCATTCTTTAATAAGAAAAAGACTTAGAGTCTAGGTCACGTCGGCCATAATTGACCGAACATGCAGGGAAACATTAGATGCCTAACAGTACGATACAATACATCAAGTTAGACAATGTAATGTTGCACAATACAACAAAGACTTCATGCAAATATTCAATTTCTCATCAGACTGAACTGCCCATATAGGACAAGGTTTGTTCCATTTAAAGCTAGTGCGGGGGATAAAATAATTTTTTGACAGAAAGAAAAGAGGAACAGTACTACAGGATGTCAATAAGGGGGATAGCCTTAGCTTGTAATTAAAATAAAGGGGGGCAAGCATGTTTCTGACTGCCATTTGGAGAATGGATCATGTACAGACCTACTTTGACATATATATGCTACAAATATGATTCTAATTTACATGTTATAATTAAATCATTGTATACAATATCCTCACCCATGGCGCCAAAGAAATCGTTGCCCAAGAAGGGAAACCCGGGTCGGTTGGCTAGAACAATCATTCGGAAGTCTGGGTGCATGGCGATGATGTTGGCTTTCCCTGGGTGGGCCTGGACTGACTTTCCTGTGAAACACAAGGAAATGAGACACTGTATTTACAGATAAAACTACAAAATGTGTTACACAGATCAGGCTGTAGTTACAGGCACCTAATATGTTTGATAACGTTCTTGTAGAAAGCACCATCAGATTCTGCTTAATTCCAATAACACTACAATAAATGTCTGAAACTTGGCAGCTGCCCAGTTTCTTGGAGGGCAGTGGCAGATAAAAAATGCACTTCTTATCAGAATTGTTTATAAATGTGACTGTCAGGAATGTAAATAATGTCTGAAATACATGATTGACGAATGTATATTAAGTCTATGTAGTCTTCAGGGGAAACCACCAAGACTAATACAGACATAAGGCTTTACAAACAGATTGCTGATCAATTGTTTATGACACATTGGAAAATGGCAGAACACAGTCAAATAGAATAGTTTAACTTGTAAGAAAATACATTACACAATAAAAGAGTGAGGAATTAAAGAGAAAATCAAGTTGCATTGTAGAGAGACCTACATATACAACTAACATCTGTAAACACAACATGTACATGTATTACAGATATTCTAAAAATCGGTCAGTATTGGGCGCATTACATGTACCGATATAAATATTTGCTTCCATCTAACTAGTCAGACTCAATAAGATTACTTCAGGGACTCTGTCAGTTGTGATGAAGGTCGATGGTGTCGTGTGACTCTCGGTCGGGCTCCCGTGGTCTCTCCTGATCGTCATGGTCAAAGTACAGCTGTCCCCAGATGATGCGCAGGATCGCCCGCAGGCTCAGGACCACCAGGAGCGAGAAAACCGTGACCAGGACCGCCACGCGGATGATGTTAAAATTCGCGATGATTCCGCTCTCCTCCCGCCTGGTCACTGCCTCCCGATCCGTCGTGTTTTCGTGCTGAGAGGAGTTATACAGCGGATCCCAGCCACTGGCGTTCCATCCGCCGTCTCGTGGCGTGGCGTAGAATCCTCCTGCAGGCCATTCCGTTGAGTTACCGCCCCAACTCATAGTAACATCGTCAACACAGTTCAGGAACTGTTACAGCCAACGCCATTATTGTCTCTCCATGCATACTGGAGTATTTTTCCTTCGCCAGTCAACTTCCTACTGATAAAATTCCTGGGCCAACCCACTTGAACTCTAAGCAAAAAGGCCAGCTATCAACCTTAGGATAAGCTAGGGGGAAGGCAAATAAAAACGTAGCTCCCACAGGGTAACAGGAATGCTCTGCTGACGCTTTGTTTGACACTTATCCCAAATGTGGAGCCTGGAAAATGTCTTGGGAAGGGATTATGGATTTTTAGTGCTTTTAGTGATCTGACCTCAGCTCACACACAGTAGGCACTAATGTGTGGCACTGACTCATGCTTTTACCAGGAAACTAGACTACATTTGGGACAATTAAAGTGACATCATCTGTGCTGTAATTTACCACAGAAATCAGATATGTGGAGGCTGAAATTAGTACAAATTAGGTACAGAAAATGTCACTCCTACGAACATTATGAGCTATGAAAATATGTCGCTTAATATTTTCTTGCAAATTCTTTTTATAATACTTCTTCTTATCCAAATAAATAGAATGAAATTCCTGTGTTGACATGTAGTTGCCAATTTAGGTCGCAACAATTAAGTCTTTGTAGTTTGTACTCATCTGTAGTTATAGAACTGGGAGTTGCAGATAATTGGACACAAACAGTGAAACTAATTTCCTGTTGTACCTGAGACAATCTTTCTTCCATCTGCAAGAATCATTTCGCCGCTCTCCACCAGTGCTTTGAGTATACATGTCACGTTGGTCGGGGCCTTGTCTGCCTCATCTATCACCAGGATGTGGCCAAGCTTCACAGCACGAACCTACATATAACATTCATATCAAGCTTTTAGCCAGCAAACATATTAATCATTATGATCATGATCATTAATCTAATGGCCACATCAAACAAAAGATTATATATTTATTCAAATATTGTCTTCAGTTAACCATGATGCATTAGAAAAACTCTGTAAATTTGTATACAAATGTTAAAGAAGAGAGAAGAAGCATGTACAGCCTAGATATAGATAGCGCATAGCATAGTTTACCTCTACCTTATTTGTAACTTAAGTTTAGTGGTGCATTTAGCCCCATTGGGGCATGAATATGCAATAAACGTCATTGTCATTGTCAATCTAATAATTGTCTAACCACTAAAGCAATGAAAGTCTTTTAGAACATAAATATTGCAACTATTGCAATATTTATGTTCTTTCATTAATTGCAGTGTTTTAAAGTATATTTTGTGTCTTTTTCACATACCAGTGGTGAATCTTCATAGACAATGACTCCGTCTTGTACATTTGGTTGCAGGGTAAGTGTCTGGACTGTGGTGTCTCTGAGGATCCAAGCAATGAGATAAAGCAATTATAGACACATAATGTCAAATAAAAATAATACATTGTCTAGTACATACAATGTAGTATTGTACGCCAAAAAGCAGATATGATATGATTTTGGAAACGGTCACACGTTTCAGCTAGTATCCACTAGCTTTCGTCAGTGACTGAGAGACCAGGGGAGAAATGCAGGTTTATAAGCACAAACTAATGTAGTATTGTCTTATCAAAGCATTATAATGTTAGCGCCTCCTAGCAACTAACAAGTGAACTGCTAATGCACACTCACCTGTGGAGTTGTAGATACTCTCTTGGTCTGTTTAGTAAGTATAAGAATCGATCCACAATTTTGTTCTTCCCCACACCCTGTATATAAAAAACAATTGCAAATCATGCACATTATAATTAAATACTGCTTTTTTGTCAATATACTAGTACATGTACAAACAAAGTACCTCAATAATACTCTAAAATACCAACCTCAAACTTTTCATTCATACATAAATTCAAATGAAATCAGATATAAACTTACAGCTACAACATTTGCTAAGATATCACAACTTCTGCTGTGACACTACACATAATATGAGATCTAGATTGTACATGTATGGTGTAAGCAGTTCAAACATTTTCAATTTTACCTTACCTGATTTCCAACTAGCAGAAGATGTTCCCCCAACATGAAGTCTTTCAGCATGTCCTCCATAATGGAAAGGTGCTGAGGGAAAAAAAAAGTTTCGTAAGTTGTGACTTTACTGCATTCTACTGAAATTCTCACATTGGACAAGACAGTAAACTACAGAGCATGTGCTACAATTTAGGTAGATTTTGTACATGTATGTCGGGTGTACAAAAGAAAATGTACTGAGTCTTACCTGTGCGTTGTCATAGAAGAGTACATCAGGAACCTTCATTCTGTTCTCAGGGTTGTACACCTGTGCTGTGGTGGTACCTATCCTCACCTGCCCATCCTTTACTTCACCTGTGAGAGACACAAAGAGTCAGCAGCAATGTATAACAGCAGCTGATCCTACTCCTGTATAAAAGGTCTCCACCCCTTAGATGTTGCCAAAATTGTGCAACTCTCATACGGTCAATTTTACATAATTCAACTTATATTTTGTAATTTACTTTTAAAGATTTGCCCCTTTTGCTAGATGTTGATAATCGAAAACATACAACTGTATGCCTCCAATAAAACATTATTTTTACATGTACCTTCTAATTCAAATAAGTTAATCATATCAAGATACTGAATATAATAATTAATAACACAATCATAGAAAAATTTGAACTCTCTCTTCCTTTAGCTCTTCAACAAAGCTGTCTTAATTCACCACTCTCTAGAGATGAATGGGCTACTTAAAGACTTACATGACAGCATCTTCTCAATGTCCTTTTCTTGGGAGGAACTGGCTTCAATTCCAGCATCAGATAAAGTCTTATCCAGTGCTGATCGGGCTAGCTTTGGCAGAAATCTGTGAGGAAAAAAATCTTTATTTCGAAGTTTTGACAAAAATTATTGCAGTACCTACGCACACACAAAAAAAAATTTTAAAAGTCCCTGCCAATCCAGTGTTGCCAGTGAACCAATTGCAAGTACTGTAAATGTTTAAATATCTGCAGTGGTTTTAATTTAGCAGTTTTTGCAGTGACTTCCTACCACATACTCATGACACAGCATGAATGTATGTTTACAATTTCAACTGACAGAAAAACAGAATTCTTTCAACACTGCATACTTCAATCACCACGAAAACCACCTTTCCCCCTCTTCCTCCTTTCCCCACAAAAATAAAAGACTGTACATTAACTGTTACCGTACTCCCTACCTTGAGAGACAGGCCTTGTTGACGGCTTCGTTCAGATTCTCCTGTGGGAACTGTGCCGCCCGTCTGGACATCCGCAGGAGTTGTCGTGTGGAGAGAGACGAGGACAGAGACAAGACCTGTGGGACAAATGTTACATTGTGCGAAAAATGTTCACAGAAAAATGTACCTGTTGCATGTTTAAGGGTAATATTCAAATGGACAATATGCTGAATTAGTTTGGGTGTCAGCCATGTTAGAGATCAGTGGCAGCAGATTAAACTACCGTAATGTAACATGGCTGGCACCCAGGCTACCTGTGCATTGTTATCCTGTCATAGCATTGTTCTCTTAAGTCAGTTGCTAATGGTTACCATAAAAATGATTCTGACATGTACATTTTTTACATCACTACAACATTCATATTAAATTGCTTAAAACTACATAATATCACATATTCCCCAAGGAATTACTGAATGACCGTTAATCCTTTTATGCACTATAAACTGTTCCTTCAATACTTTAATGAAAATGAACATACTGTGTGGTCGCCAGAATCCCTGAGGTCATGAGTCAGTGAGAGAAGTGGTTCAACTGCAGCCTTGGGTGCATTTGAGACCTAAAAATGAAAGAAACAAACAAAAAATTCAAACTCAAAGTGATGCCCTTACACTTCAAATTACTGATTCAAACATTTACTACCTCTATAAACAGACCATCTGAGCATTGTGGCAAATGATAATTCTTCTATTGAGGGAAACATAAAGAAACCTATAGTGGCCATAGACAGTGGTCCCAGACTCATTACTGTAACAGTAATCAGGGCCACCCAGTACACAAATACATGTGTATGCACCATAGTACTGGTACCATTATAGTACTGGTACCACCACAGCCTACCATGCCCTGCACCACTGCAATCTGCTCAGACATGCACAGTGGTCTCATGTGATGGTACAAGAAATGGTCAAGAGCTCTTACAGTTTTAAATATAACATGTGCACAGTCACGTATGTACCATGATACTTTGATAGTACTGGTACCACTACAACCTTCCATGCCCAGTACCACTGCCATCTCCTCAGCCATGGACAGTGGTCTCATGTGATGGTACAAGAAAACTGTCAAAAGCTCTTAGAATTACATGTACAAAGTCATGTATGTACCACGACAGTACTGGTACCACCACAACCTACCATGCCCTGTACCACTGCCATCTCCTCCGCCATGGACAGTGGTCTCATGTGATGGTACATGAACATGGTCAGGAGCTCAGCGCTCAGCCACTGCTGTGTACTGCTGCCCACCACTGGAGGTTCCGCCAAGCCAACGATACGGAAGGACGGATGGATGGGGAAAATCATTCTGAAAAAAAAAACAATCAGAACATTTTTCATCAAAAGACACTGGAACTCATTCTAAAGAAAGCAATTAATTTACCTATGATACAATAATTAATGCCTGTGAGTATCAAGTCATGGCTTTTTTTTCTTTGTATGATATACACAAATACAAACAGTCATTTCATATGATGAAAGGTTCCCATGTTGTCAAGTTATACATTCCATACCTTGTTGCCATTTCTTCATCAGTTATCTGGTGTTCTGTCTTCACTGCTTCATATCTGTCTTGTCTGAGAAGTCTGGTGCCGTCATGAAGAGTCAACTCACGGTCGTGGACAAGCCTAAATAGGAAGATATCAAGGGCTTGTAATCATTTTGTATTAAATTTTGTACGCCTGGTCTTAATCAAAATTGGACTAATCTAATACAGTAATGGGAGAGATTGGTATGAGTTATGTTTATTTAATTACATATATTTTAGATGAATAACAAATACATTGTGCAGTAATCCTTCTTTGTTACATGTTAGTTGCACACGTTTTTACAAAAACAAACTTTTGAACAACATACATGTACAATCATGTACATGTATCTTGTGTATTGCACAACAAAATATAGTTACTGTGCTACATATAGGTCTACTATATGGATCATATACCTCTGTAAGATAGCCAGAGTGCCAGGGTTGACCCTATGGATCCCGTCCAGTAGTGCTATTCCCCCCTCCAGGGCTGCTGTGACCAGTGGGGAGGGTCTCCAGGCTGTGTCACCGTTAGGGAGGGTTATTCTCTGTTGTAACAAGTCACGCGCTGTCATGTCCTGAACAAAAACATGAAACAGATCAGTTTGCAGAAAAAATTACATTCAGTGATAACAGAATACTTTATTTCTTTGAAATGTGTTTGACCAATGCATGTAATGTTATTTATATCAATTTGTACAGATGGTTTAGAGGATTAAGCTCGCAAAGCATGCATTTCTTTGACCATGAACCAAACTGACCAATTGCGATGTTTCAAAGTAATAGAACATCATGTTGAGAACAGGAATGACTAAATAGCTTCATGGCAATGACCATTACAAGAAACTTCCTAGGAAGGCCATATATAATTGCATACATGTACAGTACCTGGTAGAGCATTATAGGTTCCACTTCATAACCCAGCATATCTGCAAATCTTCTCACAACAACACTCTTTCCACATCCCTGAAAAATAGGGCGTTTGATGAAAAAAATGTTTTTGAAAGTACATGACAGTTATTTGTATATGACATTTATCTTAATCTTTTACAGAATACAAAAATTTGAGGTTACCTTGTTTTGTTTACAATTTACAATACAGCTATTATTACAAGTTGACCTGTAATCTTTTTCATCCAAGTATCCAAAAAACTTTACTGTCCATCTTGAGTTCATTATAGACGTCCAAAAGGTAAACTTAAATGATCGTGAAAAATTGATTTTCAACAGTGATCAACGTCAAAACCTGATATTTGACTTTCTGCAAACTGGAGAATGATTGTAGAAAACTGACTGTGACATTTACATACCTTAGCACCTATGACACAGAAGTCTTTGACAAAGTGTGACTGGACCATGTCGGCAAGCAGGTTTTGGTGGTAGGGAGTGTTTACAAAGTCTGAGGCACTCAAACCAACATCTGGACCACTTCCTGCAGGAACCTAGATGAGAAATCGTAAACCAAAAAATAGTTATTATTTAATAACAACAAAAAATTAACTTTTTGTAACTATAATTCATCATAAATATATTATACAGAATGTGCAGTGTAATCTTGTTGTATTTATTCCAAAGCTGTAAGTGTAAGCAAATAAATCTTCACTACAACTTTTTCTAGAATACGAAAATAATTGCATCTCAAATTGCATTTAGACAATAGTGGTTTACCTTACTTGCACTTTTTCATAGTGGTTACAACATATCATATGATCAAAACATTATGTTTATACACTTCAGAAAAGAGCCAAAGGAACACCAAGTCTAACTTAAAGGTATGTCACAATTATAATTAGATTACAATTCTAAAACATGATTGGACAGCAAGTCTGATGATGGTTTTTCTACTGTTGTACTATACTCACCTGAAGCTGATACTTGTTTCCATTGATTTCCATCTGTACTTCTGCCCGAGACTCGTCTGGTAGTCTGTTGACCCCAAGTACTTTTTGCGAGACTCTTTCAACATCTTTGTCAAACAGTTCAAATTTCTGTAACAAAAACATTATTCAGTAAAAAGACTATAAAATGAAAGCAACAACAGGAATGCTAGGGATCAAACCTGTGACTTCTTGATCTACTGTTCACTAGCCTAGCCACTTGCAATTTCATGCCATCAACTGTCAGCTTTTCAAGACACATTGTAAAACACTACATGTAGATCACAGACATACAAGTCATGTAGTGTTGTGATGATCAGTACCTTTAAGGTATCCTCCACTGCTGTTCTCCCTTCTTTTCCCAGAATGACATCATATGGATACAGTCTGTGTAACAATCTCTGAGCTGGGGCTTCTGGTAGGGCACTCTGGGGGGATGGAAGAAAAAACAAACATCTATCCCAAAATACTACAGTTTTTCACATTGATTAGTCTTAAAAATATGTGTCTATTGCACGCCACCTGCCCAGTAAGTTGTACAACATAATTTGATGTCGCAAATGGCAGATGATGAGCAGAAAAAAACTATAAATCAGATCCTATAAGCTGACAGTAACAATTGTAATCATCATAAATTCACAGTACCAGAATTTTAGCAGCACTGATGAGGTTGTCTGTAGGGAAGTCAGGCAGCCCCAGGGACGAGGACTCCTGGGATATCATGGTTGTGGCAAAGGACAACATCAGGGATGTTCTGTGGACAGAAAAAATTACATTTTTTTTTCTGTGATCCACTATTATCAGCAAAAATCCAATACAGCATACTGTATGTACATGTAATAGGCAAATCTCCAAACAGACTCTATGAAACTGGCAGGGCAGTATTCAACATGCCACTATTATAAAATATATGTATACTGGTACAACTAAGAAAGCAAGATAAAAATGCCCAAAAACTCATTAAAAAAACTCAACTGCCAGAGAAATTCACACACAGATCTATCTTATACATTCAAATCGCACAAAATCATTTGACGATTCGTTTTTGTTTATATTATTCATTTATTATGTCTTAGAGTATAAAAAGGCACAACTACTCATTTCAAAGCTAAAAGTAATTTTAAACGATAAAGAAAGAGGGAAATCATACTTGTCTGAAGATATGTTTGGTGCTGCCTCTGTCAGAAGCTCCAAGTGGTCCTACATGTGGAGAGATCAACAAATCTTTGATCAACTAAAAGATAAAGGGACTATCAAGAGCATTTTCTAATCTTCTCCCTACTGTATAACCATGTTCAACAGAGATTTGGTAGCCAGTTACTTCAGTCATTCACTCAACAAATTTTACTTGACACAAAATTTGCTTACTAGTAGGTACACACTGAATACATGTAAATGGTTAGTACAAAAGTATAAGTATGGTACCTTGAATGGAATGGGGTTCACGTCCCTGGCTTGGAAACGCGAGCGTAGTGGCGGATCTAGAGGGTTACCCTTGTAGCGTGGAACGGGAAGACCCAAGGCGATCACGCGAAAACGTTCATCCACTCTCACCAGCTTCCAGGCATCTAACTCCTCTTTTGTATGATCCTAGAACATAAAGGATGTATTCTGACATTCTTGCCTAATCCAGTAAAATCCTGTATAACCCTGTACCAAGGATATTTCATCTATAATAATTGCAGGAACATAACCATATCTTTTATCAAAGCATTTTCCATACCATCCAACCTTTTTTCCTTAAATCTACCATGTTGACATGTTCAAGGACTGCCATTAACCTTCATCCTGCCACTTAACCCTTTAACCATCACACATTTGGTCTCTAGAGGCTAACTCAGTCGTGAGAAGGTTAAGTTTATTCCTGACATGTAAGACTTTGTCAGCAGAGCTAGAACATACTGCACCTGCGCAAAACTCATATTGTATTTTGCATAGCACTTTGGCAGAAAGTCTCATATAAGGTCATATTCACATATACAAGGTTAACATCCTGTCTGTAGTTTCCAAACGTTATATTGGAAATAATATCGTCTGCAACAGGCAAAATTCTGATCAAAAATGCAACGTTGACAAAACATCCAAGGAAAATTGTGAAAAATCAGGGTTTCTCGCAGGCGCATTACGTTCTGCTGACGTGCTACCTGTAAGAGCTTGTCGTATCGGTCAGCTGCGACCAGAAACCGTCCGTCGTCAAGCTGCATTTCTCTGTTCTCCAGCAGGTTGTTTAAGACAGGCAGGACGTTCCTCTCCGCTTTCTCAATCCCTTCAAGAACTAGGACTCGACCCTCGGTTGCAGCCCGAACTGCACACTGCAAGAAAGGCAGAACAAATCCAGTCAAGGATATGTGGTCAAGCGTCTGGAATATATTGATTTGAAAACAAATAAGTAAGACCACACCAATTTTAATTTCTTCGTTCTTGGATTTTTTTGCAGAAAATTGATGTAGGCATTCTGTGATAAAAAAAAGGTGCCACTGTACATATTAATAACAAGGAGATTCTCAGAAGGGCAAAGACCCAACCCTTGGGGGACATTATAACAGGCAAGAGGATGCAACTGGCAGGCCACATCCTACGCCTACCAAGCCAGCGCCACTCAAAGACTGCCATGACCTGGGTGCCACCAGGGGGCAGAAGGAAGAGAGGTCGGCCAAAGAACACCTGGCGAAGAACCTTTCAGGAGGACCTCAAGAGGGCCAACATTGCCTGGGAAGAGGCTGAGGAGGCAGCAGCTACTCGGACCAGATGGAAACTTGCTGCCCAATGTGCCTGTAGGCACAGGAGGACCTAAGGTCTAAGGTAAGGTACATATTAATAACTTCATTTGCAAAATCATGCCCGAAGGCTAATTGCTTTTACAATCAAGTATACTACTCATTGCAATACAGTAATAGAAGACAGGAAACAACTGTCTGGAAAAACTTCTACTACTACGCTAGCTATTATGGGGTTTGACTTCTTCTTTGAAGGCAGTGGATTAGTGGATTATCAATAACAATTTAAACAACAGAACACTGTCAAAAAGTGATGGATTGTACTTGAAATGTCTCACAGTTTCAAAAATCTGGCCAGTTGCTTGAGTAACTGTTTTCCTGTGTATCTTATTACCTGGATGTCTAACTTTCATTGACACAACTTAACAACTACATGTATATATTAGCCTGGTGACCATTCATAACTACCATACCTGGTCAATATAGAAGGCACTCCCTGAGCGAATTTCTCTCCTCTGTTTCAGGTCAGTTTCTGTACTGTCTCTGGACAGTGCCAGGTACTCCACCTCTCTCTTTGTGATTTCCTAAAAAAAAAAAAATACATGGAATTGAACGTGACAATCATTCAAACAGGCCAACCAAAATAGCACTCGTCAATTTTGTTGATGTATGTATGTATGTACGAACTAGCATTATAGTTATACTTTCGTTTTGGGTTTGAATTCAATTTGGGCATGACTGTTAAAACATACAATACTTGTATCATATGTAAATGTGTGTATTGTACAGTATGTATGTATCATACTTAGTATGTAGTTATAGTACAATGTATGTCTCTATCAAGTTTATACTACTATATACTAGTATGATACTATATAGTAATTCACACTATATGTACGTACGATTACTGAATATTTCCTACCAAATACTGCATGGCCAATGCCCTTCTCAGTGGGCCTGGGGGACCAATCAGAAACACATCTTGCCCAAGGGCATCCTGGGATAGAAAAATGTGATGAGAAAGATGTGATAAGAGCAGAAGGAGTAATACATCAAAGATAGACATACTAGTATCAAATGTTGTGGCAAAATGTAGCAAACTTAAATAATATGTCATAGAAAATTAAAGCTGCCTTTTAATACCTTTTGCATGATCCATCTCAAATGCCTCATTGTTGATTGTGGTAAGGCACCATTTGCTGCAGGGAATTCAAAATCATGAAATACAATGTAAAAACATTCCTTAGGATACTACACTAGAATATGTGAACAACTGGATTTGCAGGTCATTTCTATATTGGTTAGTAAAATATAGTACTAGTTCTCTTGCAATGGCCTAGCCGTGGACGACTCTGGTACCTTTTTTGCATGAAAATGCCGGGACAGAGTCGTGGTGCGATGCATAGGCCAAAACCAACCTTTGCAGTGCTGGGCAACGGGCCGGCCCCGGATTTTTGGTGTCCCTGGCTTCCCGACGCACTCACCTGCCGGGCCGGGGGGGATAAGACCCTAAACAAACGCAGCATTTAACCACAACACGGCCTCGGAGCACGTAACTCCATACAAATCATCGGCGATCTGCGCCATTTTTAATTCAGGAATCGGCCCGCAAAACAGGTCGGACCCTGAGTTTACGACAGATTACGTCGTTATTTTCAACTCTCCAACGTTCAAGCTGCAGGTATCATGACGTAATCTGTCGTAAACTCAGGGTCCGACCTGTTTTGCGGGCCGATTCCTGAATTCAAAATGGCGCCGATCGCCGATGATTTGTGGTTAAATGCTGCGTTTGTTTAGGGTCTTATCCCCCCGGCCCGGCAGGTGAGTGCGTCGGGAAGCCAGGGAAACCAAAAATCCGGGGCCGGCCCGTTGTATGAGGCCCGGCACGGCAAAGGTTGGTTTTGGCCTATGCATCGCACCACGACTCTGTCCTGGCATTATCATGCAAAAAGGGTACCAGAGTCGTCCACGGCTAGCAATGGCCAGGCCCCTAGAACTTTCTGGAGGCACAAATAGCCCCTGACAGTAAGAGATAATAAAATGTGAGAGAAATCAAGGAGCTTCAGACTTGTTTGGGTTTGTTTAAAGCTCCTTAGAGAAACCTAGCAAAAGTAAAAAGTAAAAACTTAAGGTAAAGTAGGACCATGGAGATAGCCGTTGTTCTAGACTTACCATATTTGACAGGGACCAACTCAGGGTTCCTGGGTTGTCTGAGAGGAATACTGACATCTCCGATACTCACTCTTGCATCTGGGGGAAAGGAAACAAATATGATATAATACAGGAACTTTATATTTCAGCATGTAGACCATACCGGTACGGCGGTACCGCATCTTTCCTTGGCACACATGTATGCAAAACGTTCACTTGGAAAAAAACTGTTAGTCTAAAATTAACCTTAATCAACACAAAAGACTATTAAAATCAGTGTAATAGCAACAAAAACAACCAATATCACAACTATTAATAAACCATGTTACCTATATAGCTAACTTAGTAACTAATATATTTTGTTGTTGGTACCATGGAGGTAGAATTTCTACCTCCATGGTTGTACGAAGTTGTGACATGAAACTTTGAAGGGGGAGGGGGGGCTAGCCAAGGGTACCGGCCGGTGTTTCTCATCATAATTTACTCACCGCTGCACAGAAAGCGTGAGTTTACCGACGTCGTCCCCGTGTTGATGAGCCCAGCAAGCAGCCTGATGCGGCGGACGGCGTTGTCAGAAGTCATCCCGACCCGAGTTAGCCGGGTACCGGCAAAAATCGTCTGCATCTGACCTCTCGGACGTGCAGACCGGCTTCACCTGTGACCCACTTTTTCTCCTAGCTTATAAGTCACTCATTACCTTCCAAAGATACCAGTTTCAGTTCATACTGAGCACATACTTTTCACGGATTCCTCATAGAACATAATTTTGCATTTGGGCTGAGGAATGTACACATAGGTGGCGAGAAATGATGACAACTTTCCATCTGAAGTGACAAGTTGAAGACAGTTTTTAGGACCCTACTGGCTGACCTTTACATGGCCGCCGATTGGTAGCCTGTGATTCAGCCGCCGATCCGTGACTAGACCGAGCATAGTGGCCGATTCATATACCGATTCGAAAGAACTGAATTTCACTGAATTCACCAAAATTGAATGCTAAAAACGATACCAAGCGAGAATATAATGTACTAGTACTACTAATACTGAAGATTTCCGACGATTCGGCTAGACAAATGTGTCTTGTAAAATGCCAATATTTTCAGAAACAAAAATTTTACATTGAGTACCGGAAGCCGGGTATGTTTTCGGTTTGGACTTGGTGGAGTGGCTATGGTGTGGGTCGTCTGTGTGTAGCGATCAAATCACTCAATCAATCAATCAAAGCCTTTATGTGCTCGTAATTCTCGATATTTCTTTATTTCTTTATTTCTTTATTTGAATTCACCACATGCAAAAAACAAGTGGAAGGGAGGACAAAACAGGTGTATCAACGCCTTTACAAGTTGTCCTCCCAAACCTGAAATGATAATACAAAACAATACGGAACCAAGTCAAACAATAAACATTAGACATAAGACATCAAAAATCAGTAGACATGAAATATACAATTCGGTAAAAGTTATACAGAGAATTGATTATGTACAAAAATTATCAAATGTCATTATGTACAGATTAAAAAGCTAATTATGATACTAATGCGGCCTTAAAGCAGTGCATGAGGCACACCCACAAGATGTGGACCAGGAGCAGGGAACGTCGATATTGAACTGGGTGTCAAATCTCATAAACGTGGCTCTCACAAGCGATCGCTTGAATGTCAAGATGTTGGACATTTCAGAGGCTTGAACCCCAATATTACGGAGGACAGGAC